CAAATTCCTGATGTTGGTGATCCAAGAGCAGGTCGCTCCAAGACGTTAGGTAAAGTCGGAGTGAGGGTTCGTCCCGTTTGTACTCATCCTTCGCCCGGAAGACTTGCTCGGCAATGCTGAACAGCTGCTGTGATTGAGCGGGAACGCACAAAGAGCCCGGAATGAGCTCAGAAATGACTGCCCAAAATTGTGTGGCAAACTCGCCTTTAGTGATCGGACATGTGGATGGAAGGTCGCCACCGCAGACGGATGCGATCTTTTGAGCGACATGATCTCGCACAGACTGCCTGGGGTCGCTCAAAAGTAGAACCCGGTGGAGTCGCGGAGTTTGAGGATGCTCAACAAACGCTTCCCAGACGACTCGAGAGTGGAGTGAGGCCTCTAGAATAGTGCCGTAACAATCCTGGATTACGGTAGCATCTTCATTTGTTTCCAGTGCCATGCATAGGATCGTCACAAGGCGATTTCCGAGCCGTGCGCCATCTGAGAAATAAGCAGCCGAAGCGTCGGGAGAAGGACGTTCTGCTTGACATGAGCCATGGACCGTGACACCAGAAACGTCAGTGTGAAACTTACCTCGAAGGAAATCTAATAGAGCATGCACGAGTACCGCTGCAAGCTGCAGCTCTTGGAAGTTCGAGATGCTGTCGCTGATGAGCCGAGGATTGAGAAGAGCCTCATTCAACAGGCGTATAGCATGGCCCAGGAACTTCTCGTCCAGATTAGACTTCTAGCTCGTTAGTACAACTGTATCAACAAGTATTATTGGACCAACACACATTACGTATTTGCTCTCCCAGTCTAGCCTCGAGAGCCAAAGCGGCGTATCTCGCCTGGTAGAACATTCCTGGGGGAAAGAGCTCCTCTGATAGCGCCGCACCTGTCACGACGCTCTCTGCAAAAGTATGCCGCGCCGGAAAGAAGCTCAAATAATCGAATAGCTGGCGTGTGTTAGTGAAATGAACCTTCATCTCGAACGGGTACCTACCATCTGACTGATGTTATCATCAGAGTCCATCAAGGAGAACAACTCGTCGAAATGCTTGAGTACGGTAGATTCGAACACCGAAGACCCCGTACCCTGTCCGGGCATTGGGCGAGTGACTTCCGCGTCTGGTGCCCTTTGTACTAATAATTGTCCTCCAAAGTCGATGTCGCTGAGCTTCTCGTTCGACATCTCAGTGATGTTGAGCCGCCGACCCTTTGCGAAAAGGTTGATCTTGGTGTATCCCGATACGTGACATAACCTTCGGTGGAGGTCCTTCAATGTATGATCCGCACCCATCATCACAACTTGCCTGTCATTGCCGCACTGAAACCGGATCGCGATCGCGTCACCGTAAGGTATGTCTGTTTCGTCGACTTTGGAATCTGCTCTCCGACTTCGGTTGAACTCTGGTTTGTGACGTATCTTCTCCAGCAGTAGTTTCTGAAATGTAATGATCCTGCGATAACGTTCTTCATTCTCAAGAACCATCTTGTCAGAAGCGGTAACATCCATATTCGATAAGTCTCCATTGGAGGACTCGGCGCGTATGAGCCTGCATGCCGAATGCATTTCCTGCATACATCTCTCCACTAGAACGACATGAGCGGCTTCCACATCTGCTAGCATAACGCCATCGGCTTCGTTGATCTGTACGTAGCGACTGGCAAGAAGACGGGCGGCGCGATCTTCAATAGTGCCTTCCGGTGAGGATAAAACCATGGACCACAGCACGTCTGCACCGGGGATCTGTAACACACCCTTTTCTCCTTGATCAGTCTCCACGAGCTGCCGCTTCATCGGGAAATTATAGTTGGCAACAAATTCGAACATGCCGTTCGTGTAGATCCCAGTGTTCATGTGTACCATATGGGAAGACACTAGTTGCCTGCAGTAGTTATTGTCCGGGGCGAATTTGAGCGTCTGGAGTAGTTGCGCCCATGCCAAGTCCCTGGTAGTGTTCGATAGCGCATGCGTACCGATTGTGTAGTCCCATAGCTGCTCATACATCTCAACAGGTATAGCTGACCCAGCGCAACAGATCATAAGTGCTAGAAGCTCCAATCTGCAACATAGAGCTGTTTGCTGACGTAGGGATGGTTCGGCGTTCCTCTCAGTCTCGACAAACCATGAGATCTCATCCAGAATCTTGCGTGTGACATCCTGGTTCTTCTGGAAAAAGTTCTCGTCTTCAGAAGGGAGTGGTGCGGCGAGCGCGTAGATGACTTTTGCGCTTCCAGTTGCTTTCGTCGAATGACTGTAAATGTGATCCGCACAATCTCTGTAGATTGAATGGCGCTCTTCAACAGAAACATTGGGAGCCAGAGCTGACAGATAACTAGCAGCCTCGTGATGCAGGTCTAACATGTCTTTGTCCGTATCCGCCTGGCACATTGTGTCGCGGATGATGCGAGTGCAAACATTCCATGGCCTAGCAGTATTTTCTCTCGCAGCATAATCTTCCGGTAATGCTTTTTCCAGGATCTTTTGGCCCAGCTCCCGGAAGAATCGAAGAATATCCACGGTGTAGCTCCTGATAGGCAATTCGTAAAGCTTTGTACAAAAGTACAGTTGATCTGCAGACTTCATCATGTGCATGATCGCTCTAAGCATAGCCAGTGTCGCGGTAACGACACGAGGGTCAGGGCTATTGGCAACGGTGTTCCAGATAGCGTCCGCTTGATCATCTGTCCAACGTCTAGTTACGACGAGAAAACCAACGATATTGCCGCTGCGCGCGATCAGTTGCGGGTGTGAGTCGACGCTGACGATGTAGTCAACGACGTTCCCATAAAGGAGAAAGTCGGCTAGATACCGCATGACGGGGTGTTCGCCTAGGAAATCGACGTTGTTGTACTGTCTCCAGACTTCTACCAAGGAAACGTCCATCATAGCTATACTCATGACGCGTAAATCCATCTTACCTTTGGTGAGGTATCGGCGCAGAAGCTTGAACTTCCACGCGTTGGCGACTAAAGCTGGAAAGAACTGAGGTTCATCGCGATACTGGTGTTGGGGTCCAGTACGATCGACTTCGGTCGGAGAAGAAGTAGTCGGCGAATCTACGCTTCTGAAGTCCAGGAATCTGTCCACCAAATCCGATTCGATATCCTTATCCCATAGACAGAGCTCGAATAATAGCGCATGAAAGTACTGAATCAGGTCTCGAGCGGAGACAGCATCGGTGGTTCTACTTAGATCGAAGAGGTCGTCCATGTATTTCTCCAAGAATTGCAATATCCCGCGACAGAACTCGGAGCGATTGGGGTCAGTCGCAGGGCTGGGATGCTGAAATATCGAGACGCCCAATGAATTTAAGACTGGAGCGGCAACCAGCGCAATTTGGGTTTGGATGTTCAGTGGCACGCAGTGGAAGGCCTCACCGGATAGCCGTAAGATATTTTGGGCACCGTCGGCAGCCAGGAAATCCTTTTGCAACAATTCGATCATTTTGCGAACATCGACAGAATATTCTTTGCTCACCATAGCGAATGCAGGTGCCTTGTCCGGGCGAAGAACGGTATACCAGTTTCGCATGTGCTTCTGACTAAGAAGAGGCAAAGAATATATCTCGCCGGGACGTGGTTGGGAGAGTAGACAGACGTCGGCGAGAATGAGGAGGGAGCATGCCCTGATGTAGGCACTGAGGAAAGCGTAGAACATGTCGCCCGCACGACGATCATCCAAATGGTGGCTGAAAGCAGCCCTGCGTGAGAGCAGATTGTGCACCAGTCCAGCGAAATCGTCCCAAAACATGGCCTTGCTCGTATAGAAGCCGTGTAGGTCTACCTGGGGCCCAGGCTCGGGTAGATCGGTCAGCCATTGCGAAATGCTGGGGAAGAAGTGGGGATCGATGTCGTTGTCAACTGAAACGTTTTAGTATCGCAGGCATTTAGTGGATGTGAGACATGACTTACCTCCTTGTACGTGGTTGGCCAGGTCGCGAACAACTGTGGAGTAACTCCCGTGGTGTGCGTAGGGAAAGCGGCGAAAATAATCGTCCGCGTCCACCTGTACGGAGAAGGCATCTGCTTCATCGTCGTCGTCTATGATCATGATGGGCGGACTCCCGCGCTCATCCTCGGAACTAGTAATGAGAATCGGAGACTGGCCCGGGGTGGGGGAGGGAGCCTCGAGGAATTTATGAGGATTGCTACAGTCCTCATCTCCACCATGTACCGGAGAAGAGGGCGGGTGTGAGCGTATTGTCATTTTTACCTGCTTTTCCGAGGGCGACATGGCGGTGTTGACGGGGGTTTGTGGGTCGGTAGGCATGGCGCATAGACTGTTGCTCCCGCTGTGTAGGCGGGGGCGTTTGCGGGTGAAGCTTGCGTCGGCGTCTTCAATGGAGTCGCGGCGCGGCGGCGAGGCAGAGGCGGTGGTTGGCGGCTCGTCTGCAGCGACAGGCTGCACTGTGTCGTTGTCCGGCGCGGTCATGACGGTAGAGGGCAGGCGGTGCTGTTTGCGAAAGGACTAGGCGTGGCCGGCGACTGTTAACACGCGTGCAGGCAGGTGAGGCCAGGCAGAGGCAAGCAGTTCCCCAGTGCAGGCAACAGCAGCAGCTCCCAGCCTTAGTGACCGATAGCCCGGCGCGGCGGCAGGGAAAACGCGGGGGGATTGGATCTCATTAGCGTCAGCGACTGCAGCAAAGTGAATTGAGGGTATGCGCTCAGAAGGAAACGGTTCCAGTTGGTAGGAAGAGCTTCAGATATTCGGACGCGTAGCTGAGAAACCCCACTATCGTCATCCTGGTTCGTTCCCGCTGTGGAGCTAGCGCGCCGCTAGTGAGGGTGCTCTAAGCCTTATCGGTCCAAGAGCGAGAAATCCTCCTTCTAATGCAAGGCACGCCGGTCTACTCCACCTTACAAGTCTCACTTATCTAGACTGAGTACTGACAAGGCTTCGGGCGCACTTCGGTCAGCTTGAAAACTACTTTTGCTGTTTCGACGTTGACGAAGTGACCATCACCACGGTCAGTGGTAGGAGGAAGAAGGGTCAGAGCACACAATTCGTCATGGCCCCTGCGACGAAACAAACCGCGAAGGCCAATGCAAAACCTGTGTTCAAGACATCGTCGCCGTTTTCTGAGACGCGGTGGTGGGTGATACTATGCTTCAACCTACGAGCTACGCTGATTTGTACAGGCCGGAGATAACACGCGAGGACGAAGAAATCATATTAGAATTGCTATCCAAGTAGGTACGCAGAGAGGAGCATCGTGAACGCGCACTCGCCGATTTCTGACAGTTGCATCACAAGTTTTCTCGATTCGGTCATTGACAATTCCATAGTCTTATTACGCCTTTGGGTGACCATCGCAGAACCTATATCCACCCATCCAAAGGCAAGAAGCGCAAACGTAACATCAAGGCAAACGAGGATGGCCCCGAGAACACGCCCCCATTACCGCAAATTGGTACCCACTTGCTCGTTGGCATCAACAGTGTCACTCGGCATCTAGAGGCCTTAGCTGCAGAGAACGCTCCGACTACAGCACCTGCTGCGTATCCCAAGTCTACTCCTGATGGGACGAAAGAAAATACACCGACGACAGACCGTTTCAAAGAATCTCTCAGACCTTTGAGCATGGTCATACTAACACACCCCAAGCCCTCATTATCACCCGCACATGCCCACTTCCCAACGCTGGTCCACTTGTCGGCTCTCTCCCCATCATCTGCTGCTTCAGCCACATCCGAGGCAGCTACAAGACTCATTCCATTGCAGACAACAGCGGAGACCCGACTCGCGTCTAGCCTACACGTTCCCCGTGTAGGCGCAATCGGAATCTACGCAGGTGCGCCGGGAGCGAAAACACTGGAGCAATACGCCCGCGAGCACATTGGGCTGACAGAGTGCAAGTGGGTCGACGAGGCTATGAGCGCAGAGTGGAAGGGGTTGAATGTCAAAAGCGAGATACCTGGCTTGAAGTAGGTGACAATCTGAGGTCAAAGCTAATATTGGTTTCTTTGGTATAAATATATGTTGGCGGCCGTAAAGCATCAACAAAACGCCTGCAATGCACATCATCAAAGTTCAATAGCTGCCCCTGGTGGACCAGTACTTGTTCGGAGAAAGAAAAGTACTGCGCTCATCCCAGAAAGTTTTGGACAGCACCACCGACGTTCTGAAGATCTAGCAAGAAAGTGTCATGGCCGAATAAGCTCTTCTCTTCTCCAAGCTCGATGTGTGTGACGTTCTTGTTGCCTGTGCGCTTGAGCGTCGTTGCAATTTCCTTCTGCTGCCAGGCAGGGAATAGGATATCACTGGCGACACCCAGAACAAGAGTTGGGGTGTTCGCGAGCGGCTTCAGACCTGCCACGAGGTCGGCCGGTGGTTCGTTTCCGTCAGTCTGAGCTACAGCATCGATGTCGGCGGGCTGCTCCTTCTCCTCGTATGGCTGGTCAGGCAAAGTCAGACTGCAGACGTCGCTGCTGGTGTCGGATGTAATATCATGGCCGTCCAAGTATGCCTGCATTTTACCGCTGTTCGCCTTTCGCACCTCGTTGATGCGGTTGCGGTGCTCTTGTCCCAGATCAAATAGATCCATAGCCTTCGAAACGTAGAGCAAGCTGTTAGGATCGTACTCCAGACACCACTTTTCTCCCGCATGGTCGAGGTATGTTTCAATGAGGAAGTCGGGGCAGAGAGCAGGTGGTCGTGATGGATCGGCACGCCGGCGGCCAAATCGCTGCTCCCATTCTGGACCACTTCGATACGTGACTGTAGCAATTTCCCGAGCAAGCTTCATACCGCCGTGTGGAGGAATACCGTCATAGTAAAAACCGCGAGCCCAGTTGGGGTCCATCATAAGTACTAGTTGCACGTCAGCAATTGCGCATGGCTGATCTGCAGTGTTTGTACTGACCTTGCCGCTGGGTGTGTCTCATGGCGATACTGTATGGGTGGCTGCGCGCACATCCGCTGATGCTAACGAGACGGCCCACACGTTCCGGAAACAGCGTTCCAGCTGCCAGACTCTGCATGCCTCCCATGCTCGATCCTACGCTCGCGTACAGCTTCTGTATGCCGAGGTTATCCAGTAGTCGGAATTGCGCGCGTACCATGTCCTCCATCGTAAGAATCGGAAATCGAGTCGCGTAACGCTCGCCGTTCGCGGGGTCGATCGACGAAGGTCCAGTCGAGCCGTAGCAGCCTCCAATGACATTTGTGCAGATGACGAAGTACTTGTTGGTGTCCAGAGGCTTCCCAGGCCCAATGAACTTCTCCCACCACCCTGGCTTCGTATTTGTCTCTGTGCTGTGGGCATGACTAGATGCGGACAATCCAGTGTGCAGCAAGATGGCATTGCTCCTGTTTGAGTCCAGCTGCCCCCACGTTTCATATGCGATGTTGAACTCTGGCAGTATGCCACCCCAGTCGAGCAGAATAGGCTGGGTCGAATGGAAGTTCAGCGTGTGTCCGGAGGTATACGAGGGTTCGGGCCCTGAAGACGCTCGTTTTCTTGAGAGAGACGCAGAGCGAGATTCGTGCGCGTCGAGGCATGGGAAGGATAGGGCGGGGTTTGAAGACTCGACTTCTTGGGCAGCAGCGGCATGCTGGGCTTTCCGTGGTGTCTGCTGGTGTAGCTTCCTAGTGGCTTGGTTCGACTGCTGCCTCGCGAAAAGCAGCGAAGTCTGAGATGGTCTATTGGCGAAACATCTAGTAGTGGTTGCGGTTCGTGATGCGCGCGCGCCGGCGAACAAACTACGGGGAACGCTCATGGCTGTAGCGATTGCCCAGAGCACGCGCGGATCGAGGACAGAGGATGCGAGGGTGGAGACAGTATAGAGACACCATGATGACGCTATATTCACGATTACAAACGGGCTGGACCGTTGACGGACCCGTCGCGCGGAAACTGATGGGAATTCGACGATGTCGGATCCAATGACGTCGCGGGGAAATTGCGTGCTTCTCTCGCACGATTCCCGTCCTGCCAGCCTTCTTTAGGTAAGCACCCGCCTCTATGAAGACCTCGGGAACATCACGCCAAAAGACACCGTGCGCAACATGACCGAATCGAGAAGTATCGAACGGGGAAGCACATGTCGGTCCCCAGCGGAGATGTTCGGCAACGTAGCTTCTTGCGCATCACGCCCTGAGACAGCACCTCGAACGCACCAAACGATAATTCAGCAGGGCGCAAGGTGCAACTTGAGTTCCTACCTCCATACGCACTTTGCTAAGACCTACCTCCATCTGGAGCGTTCATCAATGTCTGCAGTGCTTTTGCCGCACAGAACTTGAGGAGCACAAGAAATGTGCTAGCATGCAGTCCGGGATCTGAGATTCGAGAGCACATGTATGTATGCTCGCAATCGAGATGTACCAAACCAAATATTATCTTGGGTCGCCTACATCACCGGGGACGAGATAACCCGAGCAGAATGAATTGTAGTTTGGTTGATTCGAAGAGTACCAAGGTAGAATGTTCGGGCCTTGGAAACATCATGTCGAACTTAGGGCGATCGATCGAGCTCTTACGACAAGAACCGTGCACGTCTTCTAATGGGAAAAGGAGGTGCAGGGCGTGACCGCCATGACATGTTAGTTATTGAGTTGCAACAAGGGTCGCTTGTGATGGCGAGATACTGTCGACGGCTCGTGACTTTAAGCGCCGTGCACATGGGTGCTCAGGTGGTGTTGTACTGTGCCTAAGGAGTACACGGTGCATCTCTGCGTGACAGGTGATGGCGGCCGAAGATACATGGAAGGAAAACTGGACCGCTCCGTGCTACGCAGCACTCGAGGGTCCGGGTCTCAGCCATTGGTTTTGCGCTTGTTGGTGTCGAAGGAACCACGGCGGTTTGGCGTTCGCAAAGACAATACAATGGCATGAAACATGATGGCCTGCGCCAACCCCCCTGGGACGTTTGACGACGGGCGTCTAATTATGGACTGCACGCAAAGCCATAGATGCAGCACAGGAGATTTACCATGCAGACTAGGCTCAGTCGTCTCAAGTGCATATGCAGGGATGGTGATGTGAAGCTTGGAAATGGACGTCTGAGGTTGCCAGGGCTGAGAGATGTCTTGGCTGGCCGCCGGCGTCACTCAGTCGCGCCTGCCCACTCGAAACCTCCGCAAACCTCCTTCCCTTCGTTCCAGCGTGATTGCCGCCATATTTGCGCCCCGTTGGACGACATAGACACCCGCCCGTCGCCCCTGCCATTCTGCCATTCGCTGCTACACAGAGAGCGCCGTGCCGTCCAGGGAACGCCATACCGCTTCCGAAGTCTGCAAGACCGCCGTCATGGACTCGTCCGACTACTTCACACCCGTCCGGGAAGACCGAGATGCCCCAGGGCCGCCGACTGAAGACTCTGACACCGACATGGCCGCTTCTGCCACCGCTACAGCCTCGTCCTCGCGCTCCACCATGTACACATCACCACACCCGCGCAAGCCCGGCCGCATGTCTCGATCGGGAGCACCACGGCCCATACTCACACCCAACAGCCCCCTGAGCTCGACGATACCGCACAATCTCCTCCCCTCTGCGCCGGCCTCACCGCCTACGCCTGCGCCAAGTCCGACACCGACCCAGCGGGTGCCCGACTGGAGCACCGCTGCCGAACATGAAGATGGAGACATCAAGAGCATACGGGCGCAGTTTGGCGACATGAACAGAGCCGAGCGGATGCGCCTGCTGGGCGAGCTGCTCAATTTGTGCGACAGTCAAGAGCTGAGCTTTGTTGCCGAATTCGTCAGTCCCAGGTTAAAGAAGGACCCTTTCATGGTTCTACCTACTGAACTCTGCTTGAGAGTGCGTTTGGTATACATTCCCAGTATAGTCTCGATCGCTGACACATCGCACAGATTCTGGAATGTGTAGACGACCCCACTACCCTCGCGAGGGCATCGCAGGTATCCAAGAAGTGGCGCGAACTCGTCAATGACGACAGCGCCTGGCGGTTACTGTGCCAGAAGTACTCCTTCAGGGCTCTGTCGAGAGAGGAAAGAATTGAGGAAGACGACACAACCGACGAGATGGAGGACACCGACTCGAAGTCATGGTGGCAGAACGACGAGCGCGCACCGAGGGTAGAGGACGTCGCCACGAGAGAACACCTTGAGGTCGGCCCATCCAACGGCGGTGCTGATGGTCTGCGGACGCAGAGCCTGGACCGAGCTGCGAAGAGGAAACCCTCACAACGAAAGCAACAAGCAACCACATACCGGTCGCATTTCAAGCAGCGGTACATGGTTGAGACGGCGTGGCGGAATGGCGGAGTATGTGATGCGCGGCAGATTACTCCGGATCAGGGCGTAGTAACCAGTCTACACCTGACCAACAAGTACATTGTGGTTGCGCTTGACAACGCGAAGATCCATGTTTTCGATACTGTCGGCGACCACCAGAAAACGCTCCAGGGACACGTCATGGGCGTATGGGCTATGGTGCCATGGGGCGACCTTCTAGTCAGCGGTGGATGCGATCGCGATGTGCGCGTCTGGAACCTTGCAACTGGGTAAGTCGTTCTGCCGTCTTCCTCATGATAGCAACTAACAGAGTTTGCCAGCTTCCCCCAATTCACTCTGCGCGGTCACACTTCGACTGTGCGATGTTTGAAGATGTCCGATGCGAACACGGCTATATCCGGCTCGAGGGATACCACACTACGCATCTGGGATCTCAAGAAGGGCCTATGCAAGCATGTACTCATTGGTCACCAGGCTAGCGTCCGATGCCTCGAAATACACGGTGACATCGTTGTGTCTGGCAGCTACGACACTACAGCCAAGATCTGGAGCATATCCGAGGGCAAATGCCTGCGCACACTCACTGGCCACTTTAGTCAGATATATGCGATCGCCTTCGACGGGAAGAAGATTGCAACAGGCAGTCTGGACACCAGTGTCCGGATATGGGATCCCAATGATGGGTAAGTCCGCTCGCGTGCCACAACATTATCGAAATTAACTCTCTC